TGGGAACACTCCTACATTAATCTGTTTCCTGCAGTCCACTCTCGTCACCTAAAGACATTCCTCCAGCACAGAAAGTGAAAATAGACGAATTGGAAGACCGCTATCTATCTATCTATCTATATCTATATCTATATCTAGATATATCTATATATCTATTTGTCTGTCTATCTAATCTAATCTAATCTAGTCTAGTCTAGTCTCGTCTGATCTGATCTGATCTGATCTATGTATTTATCTATCTATCTCCTCTCCTCTCCTCTCCTCTCCTCGTGTTTTCTCCAGATGTTCCTTCGAATCCAAGGAGAGGCTTGGAAAGGTTCAGAGCGCTGGAACCACCCCGGCATGAATTTACAGGAGAGAGAAAACGCTTGGACGAGACCAAGAGGGGGCTCTCCCAAACATAGAAATCACTGTAAATCATGTCTCGAAATGGTCTCTGAACAGTGCGCGTGGTGAATTCGCTGGCGCCCGCCTACTGGCGGCACATCTTTACAGTATGTACTAGCTGCTCTAGCTGGTCCCCGTCTTCGATGCCAGTCCCACACTCGTTCGAGAGAATTCGGTCCGTATTGGTTTTGTCATCGCTTTCACGTTTCTTTTTGCAAGTGCTCGGTTGGCTGGGGGCTGTTGGCGGGGCAAGTGTGGAGTTCTGAGACTGGGGGCTGTTTGCATAGGTCTTTGCAACCATTCTTCTCCGAAAAGCGTCCTCCCAGTCAGCCCTCCTTGTCGCCTTCACTCCATCTTCCACCTTCCGCTCTTCGCACCGCAGACGCAACGTAGAGCAACGCGTTCGTTCCCAACGGACCCGTTCCTCCGGCGCAGGACTTTTGGGCGCCCTGTGCGTGGAACCCCCGCGGCTGCGCCGCAGCGGCGTGCAGCTCCCCAGCCGCGTGGAGAGCCGAGTAGAGGCGAATGCAAGAGAAATCGAGTGATGAATTGGTGATGGAAGAATTCGTGGTGAATGCAAGGAGGGTTTGTTGTATATGAAGTCATCAGATGTCATCAGGTTATATCAGGTGGTCTTTGTTTTGTGTGTTCTGTTGTTTGTTTTGTATTGTTGGTGCCGGGTTGGGCGCACCCTGCGACGTCCGTGCGAGGACCAACTTCGTCTGACTGGTGCGACGAAAGTAGGGAATGAGGGAATGAACCACCCCTGTAGGCCCCTCTGGTTCCAGCCACCCATATTCCCTACGAGTTGCACCAGTCAGTAGTTTTCCCTATCACCACCATCATCACCACGTGATACCACGTGTGTGTGTGTAGACATTTGTGTACGCATGTCAGTGTGCACAGATGTCAGCGTTCATTTAGTCTACATCTCGGTGTATACTTGGATGGAGATCAGGTGGAGATTTGATGTAGGGGATTGTAGGGGTTATAGATGTAGCCGTATTGGATGTAGGCGTTTGTTGGATGTACTGTAAAATACTTTGTTGAGTGAGCGGTGGAAACAGTGTCCAGCCAGGAAAGCCAGGAGCTGGAGCAGCGACCGCAGTCATCGGGATCAACACAGTGAGGCCGTGAAACAGTTGAAACAGATTCAAATTGCAATGGAAGCCGTTTGCTTTCCCGATCTGGAATTCTTTGCTTTACACATCTGGGTCCCTGGATTCAGTGAACCCACGAAGAGAGCGACCGACTGAGTCAGTGCTTGGGCTTGACCTAGGTCTTAATGCCATTTGAGATCCCTAGTTGCTGGAGACACCAGGCATTTACTCCGAATGGTTTCAACAGGTGGAGTGAATTGGTTTCGCTTTCTCTCAAGTGGCTCTGGCGAAAACCGAGCTCCTTGAAGCTTCACCCAGTCTCTTGGCCTGGCTTTCCCCACCTTCTCCGTCCTCGCCCAGTCTCTTTGGCTCTGCCAGGCGAAGATGGAGACTCTACAGCGACCTGCGGGCTCTCTCCAGGTCGCGCCTAGGGGTGCGAACGAGTGAGCAAAGCCTGAGCTACCCATGTCCTCCATACAGGTGCCGTTGTCGCCATATATGAGCGTGGTCTAGAACTAGTATGAACTCTATGGTGACTAGTTAACTGGTCTTCACATGAGCAGTTAAGGCCCGGATACAAGAGCAGCGTGCGTAAGTAAAACTGTGAGTTGCGTAAGCTTATGGTGAAATTGCAGTCTGCGTGAGCAGTGCCTAGTAAGCATGATGATGTTGAAGTTTGTAACATATTCCTTTCTTTGCTGCTGTTACAGGATCCACTTATCTATGATTCGTGTGATATGGAGACTTGTGTCATGTGCAAAGATCTATTTCCATGACCGTGTGCAAGCACGTTATGCATGAGACGAAATAGGTGTTTTTCAATTGGTTCTCTTGGGGAGAGTTTTGATGCGAACGTGTGCTTATACACTGCGCGTTAAAGCAGTGCGGTGCGTTTTTTAAAACATACGTAAACATGCCTTGTTTGTTTGATGCCTCCTAGTCCACGATGACGCACCAACAGAATCGATTTAGGGGTCGCGCAGAATGTTATTCATCAAGACTTACAGCGCAAGCAAAAAGCTGTGGTCGCGTGAGCACAGCGTAAGCAATAGCGTAAGCAGACCCTGCGACCTTTTGGTACATGCTCATATGTGGCCACACCCTTTTTTCGTGCACTGGCTGACGCCGTTCAAGTCGCGCGGGATGGGAGGCAGATGGAGGCCAAGGGGTTCACATCGAATCCTTTGAAGAACATTTGGGAAGACCAGAAGGAATTGACCAAACTATTAATATTGAAACTGTGGATGATAGGGATGCAAAAATGAATGTGTATATATATATATATTAAATGCACTGTTCTTAGCCTACCTATCGTCCAAAAGTGTTGTTATGCTTTGGCATGCATTCTTCGATGTCTCTATGGAAATCTGGTTCAATCGATTTGTCCTATTCCTTGATTGACTGTCAATTTGCGCATCCGTTGATTGACTAGGGCGACAATGTTCGGCCAAAAAGGCGCTTCTGTAGCGGTGAAGCAGTTTTGCAGGGAACAGAACTACTCTTCGAGGTTTCAACCAAAGAGTCGTTGTCATTTCTTTTCATTTCGGTCGTGAAGTTGCATTGGTCGAGAACCAATTGGAGGTTGGAGGCCGCTGGTGGAGGCCATTGCTCTTTGGTTGGAGCCCAGTAGCTCGAAGTTTGAAATCTGATTCTGCCAGTCAGATACCGAGCCCAACAGATGTTCGAATGCACAAATTCGGAGGTTGTGGGAGATGGTGGAGCCGAGCTTTCGGCGTGGCTGATGGGGCAACGCCGCCCTTCCAAAAAGAAGAGCATTGAAACTCCAAATGACCACGTAGCTCACATCACCTGGTGTTGATATGTTGTTTTAATCAGGTTAACTCACCCCACCTGCCAGGGTGAGGGTCTTTAAAGGGTTTTTTCCAATAGGTGCTACTCAAGCACCATGACGGTTCAATTGAGCCAATGAGGGGGCTTAGCTATTAGAGCGAAAGGATAAGCACAGATGTTCAATGATTCTCACTTTCAGTGGTCACGAGAAGTTGATCATATTTGAAACCAGGGCATGACCGCAGCCCTTTGTCTTGGCAAAAAGGAAAATAAGCAATTTTAGCTGCACGGGTTATGAGCCCAAAGACGCTGCTCCAGCCAGTTTTTTGGGTTCTAGGTGGCCAGCCATGAGTGAGGAAGCTACGTCCAAAAGTACGCCTGAATCTGGAGGCCTGAGGGCCATAGAAGATGCTGGACCAAAAGATTGACTTTTGGCTCGGCCTACTGGTCCCCCGGTCGTTTTGGGCCCTGAAGGATGGAACCCTTTTTGGTCTGAGCGGCTTCAGGACGAAGCAGTTCTTCGTGCTTTGAGGCCAGCAGGTTTGACACACGAGTTACCTGAGCCTCTCCCAGATCCTGCAGTGTCTCCGCCAAAGGAGGGACCTGAAGCAGTTAGAGCACTGATCCAAGGCCTCTTGTCAGAAAATGCGAGACTTTGGACGGAACGGGAGTCGTGGCCGTCGGGACACGTGAGCCATGTTTGTGGCATGCCGAACACTCCGTGGGGTCAACCTCCTCCATGGTATGGCATGATGTCTGAAGGGCCGCAAAAAGAAAGGAATGTGATGGCATCAATGCTCGAGTCAATGAGGACCTCGTGGGTGTTCCCTGGTGCTGGTGCAAATAAGGGCTTGCTTGGGCCACTGCCAAGTGGACGAGATAGCGGAGGGCAGGGTGCTTTTCATGGTCTTCCAGGTGATTATGGAGTACCTCACCGGCAGTTTGGTGGTCCACGGGCTAGTTTGATGGAAGTGTTCAACCGGGTTCCTTCGTCATCGGAAGAAGCACTTCATTCACTTTTCCCCGGGAGGTAACGCCATTGAAGCTCAACCAGCCAGTGGTGGGGGTTCGAGGGGCTTGATGTCTGGGGAGCACCAGGGTGGCACAGCAAGTGGTCTTTCCTGGTGCGGGACAAGGTCTTTCGCGCCACTCAGATTCACGAGATCAAGCAAGCGGACGCTAGGTGGACCTACAGGTGGGGACCCAGTCATGCCCTATGGAGGCATTCCCGCTTGGCTTGGTGGCATCATGGCTTGCGGGCTGTTGAACTTCCTGCACTACAAGAACTGTCTGAGTCAGAGATCAGACCTCTGATAGCTGGCGATGGGCTGACAACGATTGGTCCCTTTCTGAGAGACATGAGTGCCAGCTCGTCGTTGTGGTGGGATGAAGTCTTGAATGTGGCAGGCGCCTTGTATCAGGTCTGGTTGAACTTCGAGATTGGAAAAACAAGGATCCTCTCCAACACTGGACGCAAGAAGGGCCAGAAATGCTCATTTCCCCATGAATGGAAGGGAGTCTCAAAGCAGGGAAGATGCTGGACTTGTGGCTCAACCCAGCACATGAAACCTGATTGTCCGGTGAAGGACGTTCCGAAAGTCCAGATGAAGATTCAAGAAGACCTAAAGTCCAAGGAGGGTGTTTTGAAGGGAGTTGAAAGAGGTGGAGTTCAGCCCGGAGAGGCTTCTGCTGGTGCAAACTTCATTCCTCCGTCAATCCAGCCGTCCGAAGATCTGGTCAAAGAAGCGGTGCAATTGCTGTCAAGGCTCTTTGTGTGAGATCGGTCAATCCCAAGGAGGGAGCTGGCAGAGCTGTTCTGGATGGAGGAGCAACACATGTTCTCAGGCCGGCAAAATCCAAGGAGGAGTTTGAGAAGGCCATCCCTATCAAAGTCGAGCTGACCGCTGGGGTCACCGCTCCGGCAGGTGGAGGCAACTGGCACTTTGACACCCAGACGGTCGTCCCGTTGGGCAAGGTGGTTTGTCTTGGCTATAAGGTGAAGTGGGAGGGCGAATCCTTTGAGCTGTGGAATCAATCCGGCGAGCGAATTGGGGTGCTCTTGGAATCTGGATGTCCCACAGTCGGTTTGAAGGTGGCGAACAGCTTGATCACCGAGCTCGAGAGCTTCGAGGAGGATCTGATGCGCCGGGTCTCAGCTCTGAGGGCTGGAAACCCTGCAAATATTTCACCGAATGTCTGGAAGTGGCTGAAGGTTGGAAACAGCGTCAGAGGATCGCTGCAAGCTCGTCAGTTGTTGATCCGGTCCTGGTGGCGGAAGAGATTGGACTCCAGTTCGAGGACGGTTGTATGCATTGACAAGTCGGCCGACTCCAACCAAGATCTCCTGCCTGATCAGCTTAGCGGAGGTGTGTGAGAGGGTTACTCGGATCCTCACCCGGACTTCATCGTGGAGGGGTGAAGATCTTTCTGATTTGACACCGAGTCACGCCTTTTTTGATGGAGTGTTCATGGCCAAGCCACCTCAAGATGGCATCACGGCAGGGGTGGTGACACTTGGTTGGATGGAGGGCGAAGTGATCTTTGCCAGACTTGACAATCGTAGAGGCAGCCGATCTATGTGCTACCTCAAAACGCAGTGGAAGGGTGTGAGCCTCTTTTTCTCGTGGAACAAGCCACCGCGGGACGAATCCGGTGATTCCGAGTTTGTGGAGGTCTTTGGTGGGCCGCTGAGAGAGCTTGGCAGTTTTTGTGAAGGTTCTTTTTGCGCCAATGCCATTCGAAGGGGAGTGGATCTGTGTTTGGAGTTAGTGCCTCTTTTGTGAAGGCTGCAGGCTTACTTGGCTTAGCGTCACCTAGTACCCACTGCAAGAAGTTTGAGCTTCATTGTGTCTGTGCTTGAACCCTCTCTTGGAGACCTGACGGTGTCAGGAGGGGGGAGCGAAAGGATAAGAGCAGATGTTCACTTTCAATGGTCACGAGAAGTTGGTCATATCTGAAACTTCTTGGTTGCCTGGCCTTCACAATGTGGCACGAGGGTTGGAAGGACTGCCCGGGCCTTCCTGTTTCAGGGCCGCCTGTTTCCATCCCGTTAGGCCGGCCACCCACATCAACAAGTTTACCACCATCCGCGCCACTGGGTACGCGTACGAACCAGCTAGCCAGGCTCCTCCGAAGCCACATACATTCTCCTCCCTTCGAAGCCAGTGAGCTGGAACCCAGGATGCTTCCCATACCGAAATTTCAGTCTGGGTCAGAACCGAAGTCGGACCATATCTCGTCTGAACACATGCCAAGCTTGATACCAGAACAGGAGTCAGAACATTGTGTCAAGGAACATGTCAGGAGAGTTTGTCAATACCCTTCTTTCTTCCAAATCGCCTCTCAGAATGGAATCACTCGAAGTAAAGTAAGTTGTTGTGAAATGTTGTGAATATTGCAGGAAATGTTATGTGCAGGATGGTTCACTTCATAGCCTATGTCTTAAAGGTCGGAGACCCCATGAAAACACCCACGTTTCCATGTATACCTTGGAATTGTGCATTCTATCGTGTTCCTCTGTAGCGACTTCCAAGTGACCAGCCGCCCCCGGCCAACATCAGGATCCAGTTCCAGCTATGCCTCGGGGCTATTCACTTGATTGTTCTGTTTGGCTTCCAGCTATGTGCCAGCCATTTCCGTCCGTACTGCTTGGAGATGGGGGGTCACAGACTCGCATTGCGAGGCAGTGAGACCACAGACTCGCATTGCGAGGCAGTGAGACATATCTCAAATCTCAAAACCAGGAGCGTGCTAACTTTTTCTACCCAGAGGTCAGTGTGCAAGTGCGAACTGCACAGCCTCTTCCTGTCCCCAATGTCTGTTTGAAAGAGGATCATGGTGAAAGGGAAAAAGTTCCAGTATCGTCCACTAGGTTCCGGAAACAGCAGTGAAACTTGGGAAGAACGTGTCCTTGCGACCTAATGAAGAGATATGAAGAGTGTTACAGGGATGGGTTGACGATTGTGCGCCATGGTTGAGATTGCACTAAGAGCTGCAGCAGTTGTCAGTGGTTTTCGACTGGCAGCGGCGTCGAGTGTATTACGATTTCGGATCTGCAGAATGTTTTGGATCCAGAATCTTGGATCCCGATTAGTAAAAGGGCTCTTAATAATGTTAAAGAGTTCAAAAGTAATTCTGCACACCATGTTTGTCTTAAGGGTTCCCTACTATGCTGTGTTTGGGGGAACGGTTCTTTATATGTTTGTGCTATTTGAAAAACAATTATAAGGGTTTTAAATCCTTCTGAGCCCTGTGAATACTACTAAGCCATACAAAGCCAATGACTGGCGTGCTGAGATGTTGAATAAGTATAGGTTTCTCTAGTTCTTCTCAAACTGACAGTTTCGCAAAGATATCCATTCCTGCATCAACCATTTATGTGAAGATTGTTCCTAAACAAATGTTCAAGGTAGTAGACCAGGTAGGCCCCTGAGCCTCAATAATAGATTTGTTTTAAGGGTCCTCAGTTGTGAAAAGTTTGATCCCAAGGCAAAATACATCCTGTCCTCAGATCCCAATACTACTAAGCCAATGGCTGGCTTACTGAGATTGTTGATAATTATAGTAGATTTCTTTAGTTCTAACTGAGAGCTTCCCAAAGCCATCAATTCCTTAATCAATCCTTTATGTGACGATTGCCACTTTAAAACATGTTCAAGGTAGTAAGCTTAGTACTCTTAATAGACTTATTCTTAGTAGTACAAAGGATTGCCGATAATATCAACGAAGAACCTATGAATTGAAGAGAACAGAAAATGAATTCTACAATCAATTGCAAAAGGAATCCTCCCAGGAATCCAGATTTGTTTTGGTGGCAGTTTTTTATGGAGAGCCTCCCATTTGTTTGCCTGAGGGGGTGGGCCCTGGGCCCTAATCAGGATCCCAAATTCCTTTAAAGTCTGCGCTGAACAGGGAAGTGCAGGCTTTTGGCTTCACGTACAGCAGGGCCAGCGTTTGGGTTCGATCTACCGATGGTAGTTGACGCGACGCAGGTCCGTAGCGAGCCAACAAACGAACGTTCTCCGTCTGTGTTCGGGAGTTTGTGTGTTTGGTCGGTGGGGAGGGGGAAAGCCTTTTGATCCCTAGCTCTCAGTGACACGAGGTATATAGATGATCATGGCGGATTCCTTCAATGCGGCATGCTCTCTAGAAGTGTTGCAACGCATGGCTTTCGCACCGTGCTGCCAGGGGACTGCTCCACGACGCCAAACCGGGGCCGGGCTCGACGCCGACGCCCAACCGGGGCGAAGCCGGACCCGTCAGGTGGCGGTGCTGCTACGCTCGGAATATCCGGAGCTACTGAAGAGCCGATGGGTGTGGAGCCCCTACCACCACGACCTGGGGAACCAAGAGGGAAGGGATGTACAGCGTTTCATGGCGTTTCATCCCTCAAAACAGGCATCAAAAGACTATGGTTCAATACAAGATCCAGGTGTTTCCGGGTGGGGCAGAGCATGTCCATGTCGGAGATATTGCAGGTTGCCTTGGTGGAAGGACTTCTCGGAGAGGAACGGATTGCCCAGCAATCACCTTACGATCCCGATGCCTATAGAAAATTGGACGCCAAAAACGTGCAAGTGCAGTACAATGAATGAAGAATTGTGCGTTCTCCTTTCGCAAAGATTCACATCGATTTCACGTCCTGCCCAGACACTGCATGTGAATAGTTATGTGCATGCATTATGTATATCCCAAACACTCCATGTATGCCATATATGCCTACATTGACCCCCCAAACCACCCCAATGTAGGTAGATATGGCATACATGGAGTGTCGGAAAATCCCAGCAGCAGCTTCGGTTTCCACTTCGTCTATCGCTTTCAGACCGTCTCTGAAGACTCAAGACGAAGACTCCGGCCGATCTGACCGGGAAACGGGTATACGACGGTGAGACGGACCTTTCGTTGCACCCTGATTGGACAACTGGTGTCCATAGAAAACAAAGAAGGCAAAGAAGCCGAGTTGGACAGGAGTTGTTGTCCATATCACTGCTCCTGACGAGCACATTCTTTTGCGCAACTTGAACGGAGTGTGTGAACGTAAAGGCAGACGCAATGGAAAGGGACGTGAAAAACGCATCAAAAGGACGTAAAGGTCCACCCTGGGCCGTGAACATATTTCAAAACTAAAACGAGCACACTGTTCTGGATTTGGAGTCACAATGAGTGCTCTTTTTTTGTATGTGTGTGAGTGTCTGTGTTTTCAGCTGCTTCCGCAGGTGGTTGTTTCGTTTCTCTTGAAGGTAAGAAAAGAATAGAAGAAGAAGAAGAAACAACGAATGCATTCTCCCTTTCTCCGCCTCAAAGATGAAGGCCTCTCGTGCTCTGAAGGTTTGGGGCCAAGGAATTCGTTCCGTCCTCGCCCGGACCGGTCATGACCGGTCAGGTGCCGCGCACGGCAGGGGAACCCGGTGCCACCCGGAGTAGCCGCGTAGCCTGTCGTCGTGATATGGCCTTTGCTCCATCCTTGGATCTGGTTGGTGGAGCACTCCCCGTTTTTCACAACCGGTATACAAGACCAAATCGATCCCTTTATTTTGGTGAACAAAAGGACATCATCGGTAGCCATGTCCTTGGGTGTTGATTTACATAATAGCTTGTCCCAATATCATTTATAGCTGGGTTTTCCCAAAGCAGGTTGTGGCTTCAGAGGAGCACTTTAGATGAGGTGCACTCTAAATCACTGTGGATTCTGATGGGGAAGAGATTCACATCTCTTTCTTTCGTGCCCAGCATCCCCTACCACCTTCGAGACTGCCATAGTGGGAAGGGGGTACAGTCTGCCAGTTCTCCAACCATTCCACTACCAAACCCTTTGAGCCCATGAAGCAGAACGCCGGTTCCACGAGGTCGCCTCCGCCTTGGCCACGCTTCGGTGAGGGTCCGAAAAGGTCGAGCCGTTCTGAACAGCGATTGGTGTGAGAAAGACCAGGTAGCGTCCTTGTTCCTAGTAGTAGGGCCAGGAGCCCCTAGTAGCGTCCTTGTTCCTAGTAGTAGGGCCAGGAGCTTCTAGTAGCGTCCTTGCTCCTAGTAGTAGGGCCAGGAGCTTCTAGTAGCGTCCTTGCTCCTAGTAGTAGGGCCAGGAGCTTCTAGTAGCGTCCTTGTTCCTAGTAGTAGGGCCAGGAGCTTCTAGTAGCGTCCTTGCTCCTAGTAGTAGGGCCAGGAGCTTCTAGTAGCGTCCTTGTTCCTAGTAGTAGGGCCAGGAGCTTCTAGTAGCGTCCTTGCTCCTAGTAGTAGGGCCAGGAGCTTCTAGTAGCGTCCTTGCTCCTAGTAGTAGGGGCTTCTAGTAGCGTCCTTGCTCCTAGTAGTGGGGCCAGGAGCTTCTAGTAGCGTCCTTGCTCCGTTCGGAGCGATGCCCTGCTGTTACGTTCCTAGCGTCCGATCTCTAAGAAGTTCTTGGCCGCTTGTGGTGGTTCATAAGACTTGTTGATCCGGCGTGGAAGGCATATTCAGATGAAACAGCGTTTTTTTTGCGTAGCCACTAACCCGTAATTAGCCCTTTTGTAGGGTGGGAAGTAAGGTAATGAAAGTTGAGATTATCGCAGCTGGTCCTGCCTGCATGGTCCAATACGTCCTATAATGAGTCCAGTTATTTGATATGTGATTCGCATCAGTTTCTAGTTCTTTTGGTAAAAGGAGCCGTGTAACATGCGTGGCTTTCCACTTCGATGATCATGTAGTCATTCATGCAGTCAACCTACTTCAGCTTGGCGCTCGACCGTTGGCGCCGATCGTGGCTCCAAGAATTCGATCGAGTGCAGTGTCCTGCTGTCATAAAGCTTCGATATGCCCTCAAAGAGTCTGGGGGGCGGCGACTGAGCCATCAAGTGTCAAGCCAAGCATCGCCATGTCCCATCCCAATGGTTTGTTGCGGTTGGTGTGTGAAGATCGTAACCAGCCAACCGCCTTCCCAGGCCAACCAACACGGTTCCACTGCCAGAGTCGACGCAGAACGTCGACACTTGCAGAACAGCCACTGTTCCCCAGTCAGCTCTCCTGTGAAAACTGGTTGCACCTGTTTGCACCCCCCCTACCTCTCAGGATCGCTAGAGCAGCTAAAGACAGAATTCCACGCCGCCCATCCACGAAAACGCCGCGAGCGGCCTCCATTTTGGGCGCCGAACCTCGTTTTCCCAATCCGTTCGGCGATGGACGAAGCAGCTGTTCCACTGGCCGTGCGAGTGGAGCTCCTCGGATGACTCGATGACGGAGAGCCGGGGGTGCCGGCTGGAGAGCCGGGAGCGGGCTTGGGAGAAGACCTGGGTTTGGGTGCATTCACATGTACCAAACACATGTCTATATATACGGAGTATACCTTTACTATCCGTGAGACCTACTTTCAAGGGAAAAGGCAAATTAAGAAACTATATATTGATAATCTTGATATGTATCATCCAGCAGTTTCAAAGGAATAGATGATAGAGGATTTTAGATGTTTTTAGTATCTACCATCCAGTGAGTGGATGTGACAGGGGCATCCTTTTCCTCACCCCGACATGGAACTGCTGGCCATATAGTTCTCTTTCAGTTCTCTGAATCCTCATGTTCCAAGTCGTTCCACCGCTCCGCCGCACCGCTCCGCACCCGAGGCAGTTCGTTCAGAAGCTTCGTTCACCGGAGGTGCTCTGCGGAGCCTTGGAGCGGCAGCCGAGCGGCCCGGGAGTGGATAGGGTGGTGAGGGTCCAGACATCGGCCGAGTTCTTCAAGTTTGCGGTGGATAGGGTGCTGTGGAAAAAGGGGTGGGTGGGTCAGGAGAAACAGGTGGATGGATTGGGTGCTGTGCTGGGATTTTTTTAGGAGTTGGTCCCAACAACGGATGAACAATGGACATGGGATGAGATCCCCTGGATGAGCCTTTGATTACGACTCCAGCTTTAGGTGCAAAGCGCAGAGTTCAGGATGGTTCAGGGGAACTCGACCGGCAACAGTGTGGTTGGAACCAAGAGTTTACTGTACTTGGGATCTTGTTCTTCATGAGCCATCGTCGCCCCGCCGGGAAGTGAGGAAATGAATCTCTTCATGAGCTGTCAACTGCCTTTATGAACTGCCACTTGGGCCTTTAACTGATGCGAAGAGACGGGAAAGCCTTCAATGGCACTTGGAGGCCGTTTTCCTGCTGAGACGTTGTGAGTTGAAGAGGTGTTGGAGCCAAGAACATCAGTAACCCAGCAAACCTGAAACTCTTGGCCCTACAGGGGGCTCCCAAAAACTAGCAAGTGTTCTTTCAATGATCTTTGTGGGAGAAGAGGCCCTGCAGAGCCCAGAGAGGGCACAATCTGCAGCTGACCTGGCCAGGCTGGCACATGTCATCCAAGCCTAGTGGGAGAGAGACTGGAATTTGCCGGAGCGATGAGGCTATCCTTCAGCAGATTCGACCTGGGTGGGGTGGACTAGAAGAATGGAACTCGGGACTGACGCCAACGGGGACCCTCCAGAAGGACCGGCGCCCGCGAACCGCGCGGCGCCGCGCGCACCACGCAGCGCGGCGCGGCGCCGCGCCCCAGCAAGGTCAGCTACTTCCTCCGATGGCACCCAGTGAACCTTGGCGGCGACATCAGCGTGGGGGGACTGCGAACTTCCCATGGATCGAGATGCCACAACCCCCCACCCCGTGATCCAGAAGTGAATTTGAGAGGTTTTGTTCCTTTTCAGGCATTGATGGACATGACATGACATGATTGACACCGGGGTATCCTTCAGTTTTTGGATCATACACATACACAGTAAATCAACATCCGCATCAAATCAGCACTGAGCATTTCACCAAGCAATTCTTCAGAGCTTGGAATTGATTTGCGATCCATCCATCCATATCCACCCTGGAGGTCCATTCCAATCCCGAGACAGCGGAGACCAAGCAGCTTGGGTCACCGGCTCGTTGATCCCGTCACCTGCGGTGCGCGTGCGTTGCGCGCAGTGGGCGTGGGTAACGCCCTAGGAGTACCTGGAGTGGTTGAAGCGGGAGGTGCTCGATAAGGAAGTGGCCATTGATTCTCCGATGATGACGCCCGGCTGCCAGGATGGACGTGTCTTGATATCGTATAGGGAGACCCCTTAATAGGCCTATCGACTTAATAGGCCTGGTCGAGAATAATTAGAATCGTAGATATTTTATATTCAATACTGAAAAGCACATCGTGGGAGGCCTCCCTACTTGCCGGCATTTTGTTCCTTGGCACTTTGACACATTTTTGGATCATGGCTTTGATCTGCCCTTGTCAGATCATATCAGATCTCCAGGCCACTCAGGGATACACCCTAAAAATTGGTCAAAGTGGTAGCGCGGGTGGCCAAGCATCATAGGCACCCTAGAGGGGTCCACAGCCAAGTTAGGAGATGTGCAATGAGATAGTCTGCAAACATGTGAGACAAATACGTGACTATCATGCCACCCGTCTCCATGTTTTTGGGATTTGCTGTTCCTCCCGGACATTGGAAAGCCTTGCAATTTGGATCACGAGATTCCCATCGCTGGCTTATGCGTAGCAAGGATGGGGCACATGACTAACACCCTTCCGGACTACATGCCGGAGATGGGCAAGTTGGTGACTGCCTTGAACCTCAACCTAGCCACTGGGATGCTTCGAAACTCTTTTTTTCAGTGCTGTCGCACAACGGGGTTTGTCCAGGTTGTTACAGAGGTTTTGGAATTCGTGCTGCAGGCGAATTCTGAACATTCTGAAATTTGCAGGGACCAAATAGGCCTTCCAGTGGTTCAGAGTCCATGTCGATAAGATTGGGAGACCAATCGGGTTCGCCAGGCGTTCTTGAAAGAGCTTTCGCGAGCGTGTTCTTCGGTCTCCGCAAGGCCTTTTTTAGGAAACCACTATACTAGAAGTGTGGGGTCTTCCAAGCAAGTTATGGGAGAGTTCGACCGGGAGCCTCCAGATTTGACAGATGCACGCACATCTTGGAACTGGTCAGAAAGGAGAGGTCATCGGACGCAATTTGGGCGAGAGACGACAGTAGATCTTCTGTTGGTACGAACTGGTTGAGGTGACTGGCCATCAAAAGAATTCAGACTCCCGAAATAAGACACACACAAACAGGATTGGCGCCAAAGATGTGTGGAACATGTGAGTCAGCAAGTGAGTGCCCAAAAGAACAACTGCATCCCTTGATATCCCTTGTGTTCATAATATATACCATAGATGTACTTTATGTCGTTCTTTATCACTAAATCCCAGATGACTGCGATGCTGTCTCAACCGCAGGTCCGCCTCTCTCGCTGTCTCTCGCGCACGGTTGGTCTGGCGAGGTGAAGACAGAGACCGGGAAGGCTACGACCTTCTTGGAGCGCGAGGCGCTGGCGTTGCTGCACCGCGAGGTCTTCCAAAAGGAGGAGCAGCAGCTCGGCAGGGAGGGCGGAGAGGGCAGGTGGGGACGGGGTCGAGATAGAGGAGTGAAAGTTTGAGTCGAGGGGGGTGGGTTGAGGTTTTTTGGAGGGGCGGCTGGTGAAGCTGAACCGCCTTGGAATATGCTGAATCTGATGGGGGAAGATGGAATATAATTATATGTTGAATGATTTCGATAGAGAAATTGGCTGACAGCAGGTTGGTGGCTCCGATCGCTCCGGCACCGCTGGAAGAGCAAGCCGACCTGGAGCCGTTGTACCGTGAAGGTAGGCCGACCTGGAGCCGAAGAGGTCCGACTGGTGACCCCCACCAGGTGTCAAAGACGTCACATCACTGGGGTTTGAGGAGAATGGTCGCCGATGGGGGGGAGTTGTATAGTTAGTTAGTTATGTATAGTTATGTTAGTTCTCGTTCTCATGGCTGAGAGACGGTGAAGTCATATGAATGCGAAGATATCACTCAAAACAAGAGATCGCCCAGCCGACACGTCTCGCGTCTCAAAACCGCGGTTTTTCTTCTTTGCTAACAGGTTCTACGAGGAGCACATGCAAAGCCGCACCAGCTGTTTGGGCACGATGACCTCTGGAGGCACCACTGCCAACATCCAGGAGCCTTGGCTTCAACAAGAGAACTGAACGAATCACAAGGCAAAATAGACGTCCATGGCTTGAAGTTTTGTGGCCCTGGGCGATTTGTATATATGGCGAATTCTTTCTAGTCCCTGTTCTCAAAAGATTAAAATGCATTATCCCAGAACCTTCCAAGAGGTGTCTATAAATAGCCTCTTAGAGGTGAGGCTGCCAAAAACCACCTGTTGGAAGGTCCGGGTCCATGTTTACTTGTTCAAGACTCAAGACCTTGCGTCTTTTCGCGGCGTTCCGTTTGAGGCTCTGTGGATGGCTCGAAATCGAGCGTTCCCCGAGGTGGAGCAGAGAGGACTTGTACCTCGGTTAAGTCGTCTACCACCGCGCGGTGACGGACCTTCCTCCCTGGCAGCTGGTGGAAGTAGCATATAGGAAGACGAAAGAAGAGGTAGGTAAGGGTAGGTAGATCAAGATAGAGTTCTTTTGTAGCGCTTCGATGCTGCGATGGGTGGATGTCGCATTGAATTGAAAGGCGGTGCCTTTGGTGGATGAAAACTCACATAAATACGTTGTTACTTTAATTCGTTTAGTTTTGCACTGAGACCACTGAGACCACACAAGAAGGCTGACATCTCCACTTGTAGCTATGATGGGACCACTCTCACACCTATTTGCACCTATGTAAACTGCGATCATTCACACTCACACTTCAACGCATGAGCTAGCCAAGAGATGTGGCTGTTCTCAGTGTTGTCTTTGTCACCACACCGGGCCCCTGGAAAATGCTGACGGTGCTAAAGGTTTATGGTTGCAATTCCAGCATCACCAGGTCTCAAAAGGCGGGCGCATCCGTTTCCTTTCCCATCATTGTCATGGGTCAAATTCATATATACATATTATACATCAGGTCTTTAGATGCAAAGAGCGCATCCGTTGCGTGCGTTGCGTGCATCCACGCTCTCTAATGACTCAGAACACAATTTCATTCTCCTTCACCTGCGTTCCGCAACTGGGGGGGGTGGATGGGACAAACCAAAGAGCTTGAACACCGACAGCGAGGTTGGTGCCATGAAGGGCTGGGCAGGCGCTGTGGTCTTGGCCTCTGAGCTGGCACACTACTCACTGGCCAAGGCAGTCTCTTTGGGAAGAACATCGGCGCGGTCGGCCGATTTTTCAAGCCACAAGCCTCCTAAGCGACCAAGAAGTTTGTGTGTTGCCGTGCTGTTGATGAAAGGTCAGGTTCCACTGAGACATGGACAGCTGCACACTTGAGGGGGAACTATGATTCTTCGTCCCATTCCACACTCGACTTTGCGCCCACATCCCGCTTCGTCGCTTCGCGTCGCCTGCTGAAGAGGCCATGCGTTTGCTGGGCCTGGGCAGTGAGAGTTTGATCCGAATCCCCACGGACGAGACCTTTCGCGTGGATGTGAAGGCCATGGAGGAGGAGATCCACCGGTGTCAGGCCGCGCACTTGAAGGCGAGGAGGACGAGGACGCCGGGAAGGGTGCGTGTCGGGTTGAAGGGACAGAGTGAAGCTAGGACTGGGGGGGGCAGCAAGGAGTATGGTGAATTTCGATCAAAACGGAGCCTGGTGCAAGGGCGTGGTGAAGTATGAATCGAATTGAACATGAGTGTGACTAACTATGGTTTGAATTTGCATATGTGTGCTTATAGAGTGATTCAGAAGGTTGGTTTTGGCCTTTTGAGGTCCTTTCTTGCTGAACTTGTACCGAGCTCGCCACAGGGTGGGCCAGAGTCGTAAACGGTCCATTGTTGCTGTTGTGGGGGTTTCCTCTTGTGGGGGAGGAAGAGGATTGGGATAACAAAAGCAGGGCAGGAAGGTGACCTTGGGTGCTGCTTGGGAAGCACCAGGGAGGCAGGAAAGGATCAATTGGACAGCCTGGAGGCATCACAACGGTGTTGGGAACCGAAGTTCTTCGTTCTTCAGTTGTTGCCTGTGGTTTGCTAGCAAGTGGCTTGCTCGTTTTTTGAGGGGAGGGTGCTGAAACGTGCCCAGCTGGAGAGGTCATGAAAAATCGGAATCTGTCAGAACGCCGCGCCTGTTCAGCCTGGGCTAGGTGGATCTCCACCGACTTGTATAGTTTGGAAGCCTTTGGAAGTTCTGAAATCCACAGCAACTCCGGAATGTGCAGATAGCCTTCTAAACTTGTCCAACCGGCTGACCAGCTCCATTTGTTTTGATATTGTTCTGGAGCGCAACAAGTGAACCTCCACAATCTCAATCACCCCAAGTGCCGATTTGGAAAAAAACAAAAACATAAAAACAACACCCCAAACAACTCTCAGACCACGCTTTGACGTTTACTTCGGTTAGAAGTCCACCACTTCCGGCCTCGCCGTGGTCCAGCCTCACCCCCCGGGTCCGCGTGGACGCAGGTACTGGCGGTGGTGGGCCTGGCTGGTGCCACCGAGACGGGCTCCGTGGACGACCTCGAAGCCTTGGCCGTGCCTCGGGACGGTCGAGGTCGAGGTCCGTCGCCAACACCCTTGGATGGGTCTCTAGGAGATCTGAGGTCCGAGGATTTTGGACTGATGACGGAACGAGAGGGTCCCTGCAAGGTCTGGTTTTTCTTCGAAAGGACCGAAAGGGGGTGAGACTGTGCAGTCTTGGGACTGTGGAGTCGCTCAAATTCATGTTCGGACATCCCCTTTTTTGAAGTCCGAGGTTCGACGGAAGTCTCACTTTGGGATGGATGAAGCCCAAAAAGCCGTTGAGCCCCCACATCCATCCCAACCCCTTCCCCGCGCTACGGGTTTAGCTAGTTTACGTCTCCCAACGTCCCCAGGCCTTGGCTGAACGCTTCGATGTCCACTTCCATGTGGATGCCGCTTGGGGCGGAGGACTCCTTTTCGGTCACAAGGCCCAATGGTCGCCCAACGTGGCGGGCCTCTTCCGCGGCGTGCGGCGTGCCCACACGGTGTCGGTCGATGGTCACAAGCTGCTTCTGGGCGGGAACAGGGGGAAGATCTGATCTGAAAAAGGGATGGGCGTTCGCCAAGATATCCAAGGCGTTTCGGAACAGACCAGATGTATTTAGAATTTTGCAATGCGGGGGTGATCTTTGGAGAGGTTGAGAATGGTTGAGTAGTACGAAATTGAAGCGGTTTCATGCCAACTGGTTCGCCCTTTTCATGGTGCTTGGGGACGAGAATGGCTACTGAATTCTGGTGACGAGAATCCCAGAAATTCTTTGTTCCAGGAGGACAGGGAGCATCCATGATTGAACTGAGTCTTTGAGTGCTCACCGGAGAAAAATCGGCAGCTGGCTCGTAGGGTTTTGCGATCTTGGGTGGAGCTTCGTTGAAACCCCATTAATATATTTACAGTAGGGAACTCTAGCTGCTATCCAGCTCCTGAAATTCCTTCGAGCTCGAATTTGTTTGCCCTGTTTCGTCGCCTTCGATATCCTTCGATCCGGGAGCCATGAGGCTATGCACACCCATGGGTGCAGGGACCTTGTTAATTCGAGACCCCTGTGATCCTGGATTGATTACCAACTCTGCACGCTACATCATCAGAGACTTGGAGAGGGAGAGGGCTTCGAGAAAAACATGACGTGAGTCAGTCGAGTCGTAGGTGGGTTTTCCCTGAGGGATTGATCGCATGAAAACTCAAGTAGTCAGTTGGGTAATTAGGGGTTTACATTGGATTTGCCTTTTACACTCTACAACGGGCCTACAATATCCAAAGAGACGTTCAACATCGTTCAACGGAGCCAAGTTTCCCGGGCTGCACTTCACATATTTGGAGGTGGTAGTTCAGCTCAAGACAGGCTTCACGACTCCTTCTCAAACTTCTACTAGAACAAGTCGCGTCAAGCCCATGTGCTGGCAACATCTATCCTACCTCCATAGCACTGCGTTTTTCGACATGTTTCAACTGTGTTCAATCTCCAAATGCATCCAAATATGTTTTGTGGCACGTGTTGTCCTCATATTTATTGTGTGTTTGCCAGAAGCCAGTTTTCACATGTTTTTTCTCTCCGTGAGTCCGTACAGTTTTGGATTCCCTCCCTGTGAATGCTGCCTTGGGCCCTTGTTACAGGTCTCAAAAACCGCTTTCGCACGTGGATGCATGTGCTCGGAAGATGCCCACTATATCATAAACACACTAATCTGAGGGAAGAGAAACAGCAGAAAGTCGCAACAAAAAGCAAGGCTGCCAGGTCCCAGAATATAAACATATAATATAAATACAAAGTATTGTCAAAGTACCAAAAACTATCGTGGTCTCTGTAGTCCTGCAAAGAGACGGAATACATGTAGCAAGAACTATAGCAGGACTGATCACTGCACCTTCGGCGTACTTCGTGCCGGGTGTTCTGAGGAGAAGATAGCTTCGATCAAGGGAGGTTTACCTTGGAGGGCTCTCGTCCGGCAATGGTGGCGTGGACATCCAAAAGGGAAACCAGACGGTCCCGAGGACATCTGTCAAATACGCAAGCTGAATGGGGATGCCCGCGTGATTTGTTGCATGCCTTGTGAGGTCAACTTCAGTCGGAGCCAGCCACCAAAACACAAAACCATTGTGCAAAGGACAGTTTCAGGCCCATCATTCCCCTTTTTTGCACATGGCCTCAGACTCACAATACTATTGTGTAATGGAGTGAAGGGTCTTTTGGACGTGAATGCTGGTCGGGGGAGGGAGCAACACAAGGTCACTAGTGACTCACTAGTGACAATATGTGAAAGGCCATGGCCATGGTTAGGCACCCATCAAAGACAAGGAGCGAGTTGTGTCACGGGAAGGCCTCCATCAATGATGACCGTCCTGGCCAAGTGCCGTGTGCTCATGCTGCGTGGTGGGGGGAATCAGCGATCACAGATTGGCCGAGGCGATTTATCTCCATATGAACCTCCGATGCCTAGGCCGAGAAGGCGAGCGGAAGCGGGGAGACTGAGCGATTTCAGTGGTGAAATCCTTTTGATTTTTCTGGTAGATTCAATTGTCCTTCACCTGCAAATCTCTCCTGTCTAGTCAAGTTCTGTTCCGTATCTCCTGCTTGTTCCAAAGAGAAAAAACGTCCCAAAGCTGCTTTTTCATCAACCAATCACCCAAAGTGCCCTGTAGTGCCACCTTTGGTGGCGGGCAACAGGTGCCGCCCTTGCTCCTTCCTCGCGAGGCCTAGCCCTGCGAGTTCAGAAGAGCTGCGAGTTGGCCAGGCGCTTTTGGGAGCTCCTCAGCGACGGGAGCCCCTCGGCCTGGTGGTGGGATGGGCTGCGATGGTGGGTTTGGCTTGCGAGTTGTGCCGGTCAATCACCGTAGAGGTTTATTCGATGGTTTGAGGTGGTGTGTCCCCTGTTTCTACTCAGGGGAAGAGCCATCAAAGAGGACTCAAAGTTCAATTGCACATCGAAAACACCACACTTCACCACTCAAAGAAGGTTAAGCATCTTCAGATGCTTCATCCAGCACGACTCAAGGCTTCGAGGGCATCGCGGAGCCTTCCACGAATATCGTGTTGTACCGCTGCTTGGACGCGAAGGGTCGACACAGGGGGGGGTCTACACACCGTGAGTGTGTGGTTTTTTGTTTGAAGGGGGGAGGACTACAAGCTTCAAGAGGCAATGGATGTATACAGTATCTTGATATATAGGTGTTCTATGATGTTCTATTATTCATATTATATAATATATTGTAAGTATATACTCTTCTAAGGATCACTTTAACACTCCACAGTTTGCGAGATGAACATGTGGTCCATGTTGTGGTCTGTCCTACCCGTTGGGAGATGGGCGTGGTAGGTCCTGAATTGAAGAAGCTCCAGAGTTTGGAAGGCGAACGGTTGTGACAAGGCGTGCTTTCAGTCGTTCCAGGCTACCTGGCCCTGGCTTGGACGAGATACCAAGCAAACTGCTTGAAGCTCAAGCATGATTGACCCAGAAAACCATGAATGCCCCCAGGTGTCCTGGAAGAAGTGGACTTCGGAGATGACTCATGATGAAGTGATGAATCAAAGAGTTTCTGTGACTGGTCAACTCAGGGTAAGCTTCCTCCTACTAACCACGTCCACATCCTAAGTGTGAATGTGTTACCAGCTGTTCTGCTAGCATGGTCAGGTTGAGGTGGAAGAAAACTAGCCCCCGAAGTAGAGAAGGAACTTTCAGGAGGAGCTGGCCTCTCATGGCGGTGCTTTTGCCAGGGCGGCTCAAGCAGCTAGCTTTCCTCCCTTTCCTCGATGAACTTGAGGAGAAACCTCGGACAACAAGTCCACCCCAAGTCAGTGAGAACCTATCATCACCGTTTCTTGGGCCAAGTTCTCCATGTTGCCCTTGGGAACCTCCATGGAGCTGTGAACGACTGAGAAGTTAAGGCTACATCCCTCAATATTTGCGCGGCTGTGAGCCTTCAGTGCTCAAAGCACACGGCAAGGCGGGGAAGAAGCAGCTGAAAATCTCGAGCAGGTGGTTTTGTCACATGGGAACTCGAGTCAAATATGTGGATTTGCAGGGCAGACTCTGGTTATGCCGGTGGTGTTCCTTTTTTCTGGTTCGATCATCGATGTAAACCAAGCGGCTAGGGGTGTTCACCCCTGGGCGCTCGAGCTCCCTACTCCTCCGCCCCTACCCAGCTCCCGCCCACGCCACACCCGGCGCCCAGTCGGTGTGTCCCGACCACCCCGAGCACCCCCGGCTGCAACGCGGGACGCCAGGCGCTGGATGAGTTCCAGATCTCCCTGCAGGCGGCGCAGTCCTTGGCGGGGCGTTCCTTTGTCTCCCGGACCTCCGTACGGGCGCCGCGTGGCTCGGCGGAAGAGAGAGCTGGGGTGTGGGGTCTCGGTGTGGTGGGGAGCTGAGGTGACGCAGGGGAGGATGGGGATGGTTTGGGTGTCATCAGATGTGAACACATACAAAAAGGATATAAAAGGATAAGGATTTGCATGGATTTGCCAGGGCGTCCACGTTTTCAGATGGGTGTTTCTGTTTTTCCGGTGCTCTTTTTCCCTCACAGAAACTGGGGGTGGAGAGAAAGATGCATATCGGCTTCCGTTTCGGCCTTTTGGGTGAATCATACTCGAGCTTCCGTTTCGTCTTCTCGAGAAGTGCCCTTTGGAGTCGCGCATTTGAACATTCTTAAGAGTTTGCTAGGTGGTTTGCAATGTTGCATGAACAAAGGTGATCGGATCATCTAAACATCTCTACTCTAAATACATCAAATCTTCCAGGACCGTTGAAGGGGTGTTTGTTTATAGCCCCTTAGCTGTTAAGGAGTGTCCATTAACCACCTAATTATTGGGGCTTCTGGTTTAAGCCGCAGGTCTTCACCAAAAAAAAGATCGAGGGTCAAAGGCCACCAGGAACGCATGGCGGTGACGTCGAACGCGTGTCCCTTCGATCCTGACGTCTCCCCACTCCGTCCGGCTCGGCTCGGCTCGGGTCCACTCTGAAAGGGGAATTCGGTTCGGCCACCTCTAAGACCCTCCAAGAATTTCAGGATTCAAGGGGCTTGACCGGTAGAAACCGAATCTTGCACATCCAGGGTTCATTCTCTTCGTGCCGTTTTCCGGCCCAAAACGCGAAAAACACGAGGCTATGGAGCTAGCCTGGTGTGCTTACGTGCAGTTTTCGGTTCCTTGGCGTGTGTTCGTGGCACCAGACCGGAGCTGTGGTGTTTTGCGCCACGTGGAGTGACCTTGAAGCTATGCCCAGAAGGTTTGAGAGATCAGTGTTCGTGACTGACCTGTGATGAGTCGAGGTGTTGGATGTCAAGACATGTCATGTTCTATTTAGGGTGTGAATGGGTTTCAATATTATGATGTTAAGTTATATATGTTATATGTCCTGTTCCATTTAGGGTTTTTAGGGTTTCATGTTGCTCCTTAGGGCCTTAGGGTGTGCTTGGTCTTGTTTCGCCTGCGAAAGGGGCTTAATTAACTTGAAGCGAGGATTGTGCAGCGGGTGTGTTTCATCCTTCGGGACGTCAATATGTCATCACTGTGTTTGTTCAGGATGCCCAACCGACGACCCGCGCCCGTGTGTTTGCTGTTCTGGGCACCTTAGCCTCGGTTGGGGGGAGGCTCCAGGAGGGTTCAGAATTTCACCAGCGGACGGTTTGCCAGCCCCTCCCCGTCCTGGTTTCAATGTGTTGCAATTGGTTTTGTCGAAGTTCAAGAAAGGAAGGATGAACAATGAACAACAAGAAATGCAACAGTGCTTTGAAATGTTTTGAACAGATTCGGGTTTGAGACTTCTTTTGGTCATTCTGGCTGGGCCAATCTCTGGTGTCAGGCCCGTGTGCCTCCAAGGAAATATGGCCATCACTGAAGCTTCCTTGGTCGAGACCCTAAGGGAGCAAGAAGTCTTGGCACAGCAGATCGAAGGCCTTGACAAGGCGCCTGGGACCGAACCTGGGACCGAAGCAGTTGCTGATGAGGGAGTGGTGGGGACCGAAGACTGTCACGAGACCGAAGCCTCACATGCATTTCCCGAAAGATAGCTGGCGTGAGGAAGACCTCCCATAAATAGTGACTGGCTCATCTTGGAGTCATGGCTCAATCGTCAACCACCACCTGAGGTTGATGGACAGCTCCTTCCTGCACCAACCCTTCGGCAGGATCCAGCCATGTTGAGAAAGAGCTGATATACAGCAGTCGCTGAGACATTCATATCCCAGAAGGAAACAATTGAAACAAGACCTCCAGGCGCGTAGTCAGCATCATAAGACATATTAAAAACATATTAAAAACATACGTCCCGATACTTCAAAAAGCAATCAAAACTACTCGATGCACCGAACTTTTTTCGCATTTTTCCAACCGCACCCGCGACTCTGAGTCGCGCCATGCCTTCACAGCTTCGCTCGGAGACCGGCGCATTCGACCTCAGGATGGGCCCACATCGCCCAGTACAACCACCGGTCCAGCAAGTGAGACAGATACCTCAAGTGAGTTCATCGTGACTTCATGAGCTTCAGGAGGCCGCATCCGCCAGCAGCCCTGCGCGAACGCTGGAACAGCGAGCCGCCGCTCCGCGAGAAGACTAAGTGCCTGCTGGTTCCAGCGAAGTCCGGCTCCTTCAATAAAGAGAAGAGTTGCTAGAACGAAAGCCAGACAATCATGCATGTTATCACTCGTTCGTGTTTGCCATTCCTTGCCCTTTGCGTTCCTCAATCGGAAGGATTACTGTTCCATGGAGTTAAATCCGCAAGTTGTTCGACACTTCTCCAGTGTCGTTGGAGTGTAAACTGTCCGAATTGCTGTTGGTGCTTGGAACACTGGTGATCTATGGTGTTCCAGTCCATATAATGTTTCATTGGCCAGGGCTCAAGCCCAGTAACACCAAAATAACCCCAGTAGAGGGCATCCAACAGTAAACGAGCTGGGCAGGGAGCAACGTTTTTATATTGGTGTTGCAAGTGGCAACAGTGCAACGGTAGTCAGTTACAGACATGCATCAAGTTACAGCAGTCATACGTTACAGTCATACATGTATCAAGGCGGAATCCAGGCTCCAAATGTCAGCCCATGGCCCATGAATGTATGGTGTTTGAAGCCGGACTGCGGTGGAAGGATGGTTATAACCGCTGAAACAGGGGCACTAGTTCCTGTGCAGAGGAACAACTTGGCAGCCCTGGTGCGCATCGTTGCCCTGTACAGAAGCCTATGGCCAACGGAAAAGAAAGAACATGGTATTTGATATTTTGGTCATACAATCCAATAAAGATAGGGTGGGCATCAATGTCAAAGTAAAATGGGTGTATGAACATAACTTAATTGGCAATCTTGTTTCTGAAAGGAATATATATATATATATGTATCCTAATCAAAACGTGCCATGTCCAGCCGTGGGAGAATGGGGAAACGATTCTAAAAGCGGGTTTCTCAAAAACCATCCACCAAATATGGTGTTTCACGGATAAATGTCGGATTTTGCACGGGATAAATGCGAGAAACCAAATGTTCCACTGAAAAACTAGGTTTTAGTGTTTTATATGCTAAACACGGGTTTTCGAAAAACATGTATTTTTTTTCCTAGGCTTTGGTTGCTCTTGGTATATATTTATGTGTTTAACGTATTTCATCAAATAATTGTATAAATAAATCTATAACTATTCAGTAGATATGTTAAACTACATATCTCGTAGATTAAAAATATAATGTGGCGAAGTATGAATATTATTTATGCATATATTAATTATATAAAACGGTTTTTGCTTTTGGCGGCTGCTTTCCCCGAAGGTTATCGTAGGCTTAGCGATTGCTCTATATATCCGTGTTCTTGAAATGTTGTTAGAATTTGTTAAAAATTGGGAAGTTGTTTGTGATAAGATGTAGCACCAGTTACATGTTATGTGCATAGTTGTGTATAGATGTATGTTTCACTGCAGCCGTTTGGGTTTATTTGCTTACTTTAAGCGTGAACCAAAAGTGTGCCTAAACTTGGAATATAACCTTTGGGTATGGTGACTCAGGGTCACTACATTTGTAGCGGAGCTGAGGTTCTAAGGCCCAGCTACCGTCTGCGGATCGAAGGTTGCCGAACTGCATCAGTTCTGGCACCGGAGATCCGTGAATACAAACATCACTTGCAGGACATCACTTGCAGGAAAGCCGGATTGCTTCAGTCCTGGCTCGCAAGTCGACATTGGCACAACAGCAAGGAGCACAAGCACAGCCTACAGACATGGCGCAGCAATTTGCACAGATGATGCGAGCACTAGCACAAGGGCAGAAGCAACGAGCAACGGCAGAAGCACACGGAACATCGCAACCAGTGTGGAAGTGCGAGACAGGTCAGAGCTGAAAGGCATCCCAAAGCCTGACAAGTTCAGCAGACAGATTGGTACTTGGGATTCATGATGCTTCAAGTTCAAGACTTGGATCGAGACAGTCACAAGAATGCAGGAAAGTGCATTCAACCATTCAACTCCTTGACAAGCACCAAGATACCGAGATCAATGAGACATCTCTGGAAGATGATTATCCTGAAAAAGCCGAGCTTGTTTCAGCTCAGGCCCGACAGGCTCTGATCTCACTGTGTGAGGGAGAAGCCCTGGAGATTGTCAAGAACACCTCAAGAGGTCAACACTTTGGCCTAGAGGCATTGCGACAACTGATCACCAAGTATGATCCACAGAACCCACAAGCAAATTCAGCACTGCTGAAGAAAGCCTTGCGTCCATAGCAATGTACGTTGGACAAACTTCGAGAAAGTATTGAGGCCTGGGAAAACATTAGGCGTAAGTATGAAGAGCGAAAGAAGAAAGCTTTTGATTATGATATTGCTAGGAGCTGTCTGCAATAGATGTGTCCAGCCAAGGTCTAAGATCACCTTGACCTCCAGAGCTCAAGATTCACACACTATGACATCATGAAATCAGAGATTTTGGCCTACCTCAAGAACATCGAGAACCGAAGAGAAGCAAAGATAGGATCAGCACCAATGGATGTTGATGCATTGGCCGCAGCTGCCAGCCAGATGCAAGCTTCACTTGCGAGCCTGGCTGAAGGAAAAGGAAAGAGTCAAGATGGAGGCAATGGAAACTCCCTCCTCCTTCCTCCCTCTTCGCAAGTTCGACTCCGTCCTGTCGTCGCTCTTTGGCACGCGGTTAGCGTTGCGTATCTTGCGGCCGCACTCGCTCCTCACTCTCACTCTCTCACTGTCTTACTATCTCTCTCATCTCTTTCATCTCTTTCTCATCTCTCTTTCCTCTCTCTCTCTCTCTCTCTCTCTTTCTCGCTCTCTTTCTCTCTCCTCTCTGTCTCTCGTCTTTCCGTCTCTCTTCTCTTTCTTTTTTCGTAGGAGGATTCGGGCAAAGAGCCACATATAAAGGACTCTTTACTGCCTCCAAAAAGAGCGCCGTGTTTTTTCCGACCTAATTGCCCTCCATTTTCCCATTCTGGAGCGCAAGCTTTCGCCCCCCCCTTGGCCTCAAGTTCCATTTTATGGAAAAATTTATGAAATAGAAATGATTGATATAAGAATAATTGGAACAAGAGTAATTGGTATAACCAGAACTCTAAAGGTAAAGGTAAAGGTTGTAAAGGAAATATATCGTAGGTTTTTTGTATTTATAATCGGTTATTTTGGTAAGTTGTAAATATTGTTTGTCGGCTAATTTGTGAATTTATAAATAGCGTTTTTTAGTCTATTTTGTATGTTTAGAATTTGTTTAGGATCGTTTTTATCGGACGTATTATTTCGATTCCGTATTATATAGGAAATTTCCGGCTCGTTTCGGTTTTTTGAAATTGGAATGATGGGCGGTTCGGTTCGTAAATATTAATGGTTCGTTTATCGATTCGATTCGGTTGCTTCTTTTTAATATATAATAGAAGGCGGCGTTTAAAGCAAAGAGTTTGGTAGATTATAGTATAGTTTCCGGAGTTTTTATAAATTGATATTTATGGGTGTTTTTTGGTGAATTAGAAAGTGATTTTCGGTTTTTGAAAATCGTTTTTGGTATAGTGTGGACGATTGTTATTTCGAAATCTTGTTTGGATTGGTCGAAACCGTTTGTAATTGCGTAATGCGGCTAATTTAATTTTTGATTATATTAATTTAAAATTTGGAATGACGGATAGGTTGATTGCAAAATGAAATTATAATCCCGGTTCTTAAACAATCGATACGATTGAATATATTATATTTCGTTTATTTTGTAGAATTCTGAATGCAAATTGTAAAAGTTGAAAGGTATATTGGGATTTTAAAAACGATTTTTAGGCAATAAAAATTCATTTTTGGTAGATCGTTGAATGAATTATATTGAATATATAATTGAAAATGATTTTCACATGGCAAAAATCATTTTTAGATAGGTTTGATTATATATTATCTGAATACAATAATGAATTGACATTTCGATTATCGATTCCTCAAAAGCAAGATATTTTTAGAAAGAAATCTTTTTATCGTTATGGTTTTAAGCTATGAAATCCTCGCTTGTAAAGTTTGGTTATAATACCTGACGGGAAACGCTGTGCTTGAAAAGGTGGCTTATGAATATTTGCAAATATAGAAGCTAAACGCATACAATAATCGAAGCAGAATGTTCTAACTAAATATATATTATATAGATAGAATTGCGGTTCGTAACGGTTCTTTGGGGCAAAAATAAACGGTTCGGTTCGGTTTGACAGAAATTGCTTTTTAGTCCGGTTCGGTTCGTGTCGGTTCTATTGAAATTGGTATTTTTCCGGTTCGGTTCGCGGTTCGTGGTTCGGTTCTTAGGTCTTATTGATTACATAAAAGTAGGTGGAGGCGGTCTATAGTAGGGAATTGATCTTAGATATATATAGATGATTTGATATGGTTAGATTAATTTGGCTTAATTTATTTGATATTTTCTTTATGTTGATTTGATTAGAATAATTCTGGTTGAATTGAATTGTTAAGGATATTTATTTTTCTAATTTTCGATAATTGTTTATTGCCTTGATTTTGATCTTTAAATCTTTCTATTTGGGACGGCGTTATTTTCGTCGTTATCGTTTTTTTGAAATTCTGAGGGAATTGGGTATATGAAAAAAACGAGGGGATAGGCAAGGATGACGAAATTAATGATTTTCTAATGATTAAAGAGAAAATGATCCGAAGGATATTCTAAAATATATTACGAATAATTGTATTTAATAAATATAATTAAATTATAAATAATTGAGATCCGTTCAAAAAGCCTTGAAAGCATTTTACATAAAGAGGGAACGTTTGCAATTGAACTTCTTCAACTTAGATCTTCGTTTAGAAGCGGAGTCATGTAAATACTAGGATGATATGGTTCTCCCCAGCTTGGCGCTAGGATCGCGCTAGGTTTGCGCTAGCTATTTGGGAATGATTTTATAGTGTTTTTTATATATAATTGATCTCTTTGTATTATTGCCATTAAAGTGTCATTGAAGTAGACCCGTCTAGACCTCGCAGCCTTTCGCTTTTGTTTAAGATGATCGTCCCGAAGACATGCCTGGCACCTCGTGGGTGCCCTGGCGAGCTTTCACGGGCATGTGTCCAGGGATTCCATGTTCTCCGGTGTGGTGCTCAGAAGCATCATGTCACCTATGCGGTGGCCAAGGGTAACACAACAGAGTTTGTATATTCGCAGTTCTCG